GTGTGTGTGTGTGTGAAACAAAGACAGCTAGAGATGGGGAGTGAGACAAAGACGAGGGGACACTTTAATTCACCTTTAGTTAACATCGCACATTTTGCGCTTTGTCCTAGAAGAAGAGATTGGCCGCTGAATGGATGTAAAAATGAATACATCTGCTAGAAAGGGACTAAGTAACTGAAAAGCTCCATTAGATGTAAAGCAGCCAAATGGAAACACACGCAGTACAGGAGGATAAGGCCTGTTTTATCAACCAACAAGAAGTCTGTTCCTTTTTATGCTGGTGAATGGCCTTTTTCTGTTGGGGCTTTCTTTATTTTCCTTTTTGTCTATTTTTTCTTCACCAGCATCCACACAATAGCTCTGATTCAGGGTGGCTTCTTTCAGCGCAGCTCCAGAGACAGACAGAAGGCCGGACAATGGGGCAAAATCAGGGACCAAGACATGTAATCATATCATTGATTCCAGTCCTTTTTTATCGGTCCATCATACAGTATGCTCTAAACCTATGACTTGTAAGAAAAGTCAGCTGCTTCATATGTTATTGGCAGTTTCTCTTTTTCTGGATAACCCAAGCTTTTTGCAGGAGCTTTCTTTTTAAATTGCCACTTTGCTTAATTCTGGATTTTTTTGCATTTCAGAAAAGTTGGAGCCAGAGCAGCAGGTGAAAGTGTTTCGGCCATAGTGACAGTCAGCAGCACAACGAGTCCCTCAGGGCCACTTTAGAGCCCCAGGGACAGGGGGGCCCCTCTCATCCAGTGCCTTGACCCAGTGTCCGCATCCAGCTCCAGGCCAAGCAGGGGCCAACACCTGCCCTGTGTGACCCACTAAGCACTCAGCCCTCAGCCAGGCACGGTACCACGTCAGTTAAACGCCTCACAGAAGACATGACTGCCTCTTTCCTCTTTTCCACTATATCCTCCATTTTCTCCTCCTCACTGCGCACATACATCAAGCAAGGATGACTCGACAGTCGGTGTCTCTGCCTTAAAAATCTGCAAACACTCCTCATGACCCAACTGAAAAAGAATATCTGTACAGATAAAATTACTCTCATTTCCTTTTTCTATCTGTTTGCAAGAGTATCGTGATTTACTGTACAATGAAGACGTGGAAAAATCATGTAAAGGTTCTGTGATTCAATGTCCCAAAAAGAGGCTGACCGTGTTTTGTACTGCATCTTCCTTCTCACCAAATGAGGAGTTTTATCATACTCTCAAGCCCCCTCTTGAATGATTGTCTTTTTCACACACAGCTAACAGATGGTAATCCTCATTTGGGGAATGATTGTAACACCTTTAACATTTTAGCCATTTTAAGAAATTCACGCACTTACCAGAAAAGAGTGTTTAGATGTGCAAAGTATCAGGACCAAAACAATATTTGTCCTTCTTCCCTGCCACTAAAATTGCTAGATGGCAAATAATGAAACACAAATCGAGAAATCTGTAATTCTTTGTAAACAGCCTAAAATCACAGTCCAAAGAATAGTTGGATATTCTGGGACTTATTGGCTTTTTTGCTAAGAGACACAGGAGAAAATTGATACCACTCTTTTGTCTGTTTGGTAAATATGTAGCCTGTTAGCTTAGCATGAAGACTGAAAACAAGGAGAAAACAACTAACCTGACTCTGTTCAAAAAAACAAAACAAAAACCTAGCAGCACCTCTAAAGCTCACCTATTAACATGTTATATTTTGATTATTTAAATCGTACATGGCGGATTTTGTACCTTTGGACAAAGCCATGACAGCTGTTTCCCCTTTATTTCAGTCTTTAAGCTAAGCTAAGCTAGCCAGCTGCTGTTGGTAGCATTTATATACTATATTTATACTTGGTGTACAGACACAAGAGTGGTATTAATTTTCTGATCAAACTATTGGTAAGAAAGTAAAAAAAAGCATATGTCCCAAAATGTCAAATTATTCCTTGAATAAATACCAATTGTAATGATTTACTGGGGAAGTGCTTTCCCGTTTAATTAGAAAATGAATTGCTGAAAACACCTGCTCAAGTAGATGCACTCTCAGCCTTAATGTGGAAGCTGTGAGCTTTTATATTGAAATGAGTCAAAATAAGGTTTTAATAATGTCTGAATGTCAAACTTACTCAGTTTAACATAAGTCTCCATAGGTTTGACATTCAGGTTTGGTCAGCCATCCCTCATGTAGTATTTTTCAACCTATAGTCATTTTCTTCCTCTCTGTCATTTTCTTACTTTCAAAAGTTGTGGCCTTTAATTTGAACAAAAAGGTATTTCCATGTTTCCCCTTCGCTGGGTCATGTCTGAACTTTTCTGTTGCATTCAGAAAATCTTGTAAAGATTTTTACATAATGAAGTCTGATGGGCTATATAACAAATGCCATGAAACCATGATTTTGTTACAAGCAATTTATTTTTGTACTTTACTGAACATTTTTATGCAATACCGCTGAAATAAGTACTATTGCAAATTGAAGGCTTTATTCTCTCCTCAAAGGAGCCCTCCTCAGTCAGTCCTATCAGACTTTCTCACGTGTGGTGACTCAAAGTGCTTTCAGTGTATGCCTGCATTTACCATTTGATATTCTGCCAGTAATGACGATGGTAAATGTTACAAAAACACGGGTGACAACAGGCATTTTTGGAGCGGCTAGTACGATTCATACTGTATTTGTACTCCTTAAACACTCCCTTTGAGAATACTGCCTTTCATTTTGGGTTATTTTTCTTTACTCTGTCACCACTTACATTAGTCAGAATCTCAGTTAATCATGCATACACTTGTCCAAAGTACAGCTTAAGAGCAGATTTGGATTTTCTGATGTACTGCTTGAACTAAAAGGTGTGATGATCTTCTGTATGAATGCTCTACCCCTTCTATTAGTGACCTTTTCATCCCAGCCTTTCACATCTCTGTTTTTGCACATTGATCCTGTACTTTTGTCAATCTTGTTCTCCAGAGGTGTTGATGTATAAAAGCATGTTTCTGGTTTTATCAAAATTGATGTAAAATTTCCCATGAGAAGCACAGCCACAAGGGTCCAATCATCAGTGTCCTGTATTTTTCTAATGTAAAAAAATATTATATCATCACAGAATTTGTTAATATATGTATATGTGTGAAAAGATGGATATGATATATAATAATGTGTGTATTGCCCAATCATAGTTGACCAATCTTTCAGTGTTGTGTGCAAGAGGTTGTGTATAATTGTCATGACTTGTAAGGCTGGATTCAGACGGGAAGTCTACTGTGTCCCAGATACTCAGAAATGATGACATTCACACAGAGCTAAAAACAAAACCTTACTTAATCCAGTGTGAATGACTACAATGTGGTTCCCTGTGCACAGCTCCACAGGTGGGCCATTCACTTTTATGTGCAATCGTTTGTTGCAATTCATATGACATGTTGGGGAAAATATTAACAAGCAAAAAACACAGATTCTCTATGTGCCACAGTACTCTGAGAAAAAAAATGTATTATGAAATGAATAAAATTTGCAAACTTAAAGCTTTCTTGTTTGAAAGACAATGTCTGTTGTGCACCTGCAAATACAGGAAGGCTACAGGCAAAGCAATGAACAGATATAATCACAACATCCTGGTTTATTAATCAATATAGAATGCATTTTTATGTACAGATACATTTGGTGGGTGATTTCACCGAGGATCCTATTAACCAAGGCCTCATAACAGACACCAGAGAGAAAATACGGTTAAGAGCTAGAGCAAAATGGTTTATAACCTCAATCAAGATAAAAAATGAAGAAGGAGTTTGTGAATGAAGAAAGAAGGACACGCTGTCATGGTAACCAATCCCTGTCCTTCCCATCCAGCACGTTCCCAAGGTTCTCCTTGTTTCTGAGGCTGCTGAGCAGCAGTGCCAATGTCCTGACGACAGGCTGCATCCCCCCGTTGCCCAGAGCCTCCACACTGCTGTGCCTCTTCCCGAAGCGCCCAATGGGTCTCACCCCACGCCCCACGTACCAGAATGGGTCTATCTCTGGACCTGGACACCACACAAATCATTAACAGTGATTATTATGATCAAAACAGTATGATTTTATAATGCTTTAACTTAAATTAGTCTATTTTGTAGTGCTAAAAGAAAAGACAAGTTGAAGATTTTCATACAATGTTGTCTATGTGAACATAAATGATTTTCTATGCTGATTTGATATGTTCAGGAATTATATGAAGAAATTATTTTTTGGTCTTCCATATATTTAAAAGTAAAACTGACTTCTAGAACAATACTATTATATTTATTGTACGTTTTCTTTTAAGACATTCATTGTGATACACAACGTTCAAATAAAAAGAGATTCATTTACTGTGTATTACGCTAGCATTATAATGTATAGAAATTAATATAGTAGCAAAACATTCACTCCTTAATTTACAATCTAAAGTAAATTATTCAAAATATATCAAACTATACATTTACATGTAAGCATAATGTAATAATGTCATTTAACATAGCAATAATTTGTAGAGGAAACTGTGACAAAATAATACACATAGTAAATTACATGATAAACTGATGTACCACAAATTAGTGGATGAGGATATTCTTATTTTTGAGCTAAATAATGGCTTTTCTCTTTAAAAACAAATAGCTACCTGACTCCTTAAAATTCACACAACAGACAACTATTGACACTTTATTTCTAGTATGATGTAATAGTAATAAAGTATCTTACAATAAATTTCTATGAGAAGAGTAAATGACAATGTAGAATAAGGTCACTTTTCACTCACCATTAAGAGCCATAAATACGCTTAAAAAATGTTTTTACCATTCGTCTGTCCTATTAAAATTTTTGTCTCTTAAATCTCCATAAACTACCTCAACAAATTCTGCAGGTTGTAAGAAAAAAAAAGCTAAAATAAAAAAGTCTTACTTCTGTTGTCGACATTGTGAACAATGTGGAAGTCATGCTCCACCGTGGTGCTGTGGGCTCTGCTGAAGCTGGAGGAGAGGAGGATGAGCAGCGCCAGAGCTGCAGGCAGCCAGCGGCTTGTCAAGACGCAGTGCTGGACATCAGCCGTTCTCCCAGGCAGCATGCTGTGGAGTCACTGAAGGCACTAAATAAGAGGATGGAGAGATGCTGGTCAGTAAAGCATCACTCAGTCAGTAGAGAAAGAAAGCTGAAGAAAGCTGAAACGGATACAATTAGACATATCTTCAGGTAAGATAATAAAAAATCCAATTTGAATATTATAGAAAAACTATATTTCTGTAACTGTAAAGCATTTTATAAAAAGAGATAAATAATACAAGATAAAAAATATACAGTGAAATAGGATGAAGTCATTTAAACCTCACTGCACCAGAAGCTCATACAAGAATATTATCAAAGGCGATTATTTGTCATTGATACATGTGTTGTATATCCCTGCAAAAAAAAAAGTTTAAAAAAAGGAATATTATAGTATAAATTGAATTTAGAGATTTAAAAACACACTACGATGACCCATTATAAACTCATAAAAGTCTCATAAAAGTCCATAGGTGATGGTTATAGAGATATACACTATTCTAGTCTATCAATATCCTACTACAATTATTCACCCTATTAGTGATGTGCACTTGTGTTAGAATAGTTAACACAAATGCCCCAGGAGTATTATAAAATAACTGCCCAAACACATAACTTATCCACATTCTCTGGCATTTAATACAGTGAATTTGTCAGGTAGTAAAAAACAAAATTACTCTATAATGTAAACCCCAAGAAGCAGCTCCTTACCCTGAACTTTGGTAACAGGCTGAGGTCAGTTGTCGGAGGTCTGAAGTCGTTATTGTCAAGCAGGTGTGCTCCAGCTTATATATCCATGCTGCTCATGTGGTTGTTGGATGATGAATCAAGAGCGTCAGTCACACACAGTGATCCCAGACTACAGAATGCATCACCTCCCTCCCTCTCCTCCTCCCCTCCTCCTCCCCCCTCATCCCTTGAGAGAGAAGGTTTGGTTTTGGAGTTTTCCTGACGTCTGTCACGTAGCAGAGCAGTCCATCAGAAAGTCAATGACAATGCGGACAACTTTAAATTAGAGAACATGGGGAGACCCAGCACCTCAAGTAGGTCTGTCAGACAGTGACCTGGAACTGTGGTGGGCGTTTTTCATCAATCAGCTTGATTACGTGGTACAAAGCAGGACACAATCAGCTATGGCAAAAACTTCCGCTTATTCTAGAGGCTGTTCAAGAATAGAAGAGTCTTGTCACCAGAAACTAAGATTTTGGAACTTTCTTAATAATAATCAGCTCCAAATACAAAGATTATAAATGTAAACAGTTCACTGCACCTAAAAAGAACAATGTTGCACACTGACATACCAGATTTGAGCTCTGCAGGTTTATAGCTGGGCAGGTAATATTTTAAAAGCAAAATTTTAAAAGCTGACAATTAAATATAGGTCTACTGTGAGGTCATGTTAATTCACACTCTGTCCGTTACTTTCCACCGGTATGTGCTGAGAGGTGAGAGTGGTGAATCACATGTGAGAGGCTGAGATGAGGAGAACTTCGCTCCCTCAAATGTATTCAGCTGTAAAGGCACCTTTAGGCCTAAAATGATGTCTGTAAAGGTCACAATGCAATGTGACAGTGCTGCTCAAAATGTGACAATGCAGCTTAAACTCAAAATAACATACAGTTAAATAAATAAATTATTAAAGGAACACAGCTTACTGAGAAATGCCGAATGTTGAGAAAATCCTATGACTAGTTGTGGCATCTTTGCAACACCAAGTCAATCAATTCTGCAGTAGATGTAGAGCTCAAATATTGGTCAATTGACAAAAACTATATTTTTAATAATCAATTAATCTTTGTCTTATATGATAGTAAATTTAATATTTTAAAGTGATGATATCATTGTCCGATGTAGCATTTGATATAAAAGGTTGCATATCTGTGTCTCCATATGTGCACGTGCATGTACACAGGTCCACCCTCGGGCAACACTTTTGGTTCTCCTCCGCACATTAGGGCAGCCGTAATTTCGTCGTGGACTGAGATCAGATGGTATGATGCAGACAGAAGCCCTGCAATAATGAGAATAAAAACTACCTGAGGATGTGTAATCACACTGCAACATGGAAGAATCCTTAACCAGTGAAGCTAATTTGATTTTATGATAGGGAGCCCCTTATTTGAAAACACAGTGTGCGATTTGTTGCTTCTTAGATCGCCAGTCACAAACAGAGTTGTTGCTGTGTAAAAATGCAAAACACCTATTCAGAAAGCGTTCAGTTCATCCCTGTTTTGACCTTGTTGGTGCTACTCATGAATAGATTTAGAGACAAATACATGTAAGCCGAATACAGCGTTACCGACCTATAATATAAGTTGGTTTCTCTACCTCTCATTAGACCTCACATTGAGCTCCTCATAGACAAACTACATTGGAAAAAGATTATTTTCAATTCTTAACCTCATTTTTATTCATCCTTGAATCACCACTGCTCTAAACTCATTAAATCTCCTAATGTGATTCAAAAATGCACTGCTTAGTTGTCCACATTGTCCCTGCTCAAGATGTGTTCTTTGGCGTCACAGTGCTGCCTCTGTCTGGTTTGTCCTCTTCAAACTATAACATCATGCTCTCATCTGCAGCTGATGATGAATAGCTTCATCTCGCCCATGTAATCTGTGTTTTTTGAATGGAGAAAAAGAGAATCACTGGTCCAGTCACAGCATGAAGTGACATGCTAGACTTCCTGCATTACACTCCTTTTTTGAGGGATCACGACACCACAAGCAATCATGTCATGTCCTGTGTATCTAAAAGGGCGTCCTCAGTAAAGGTTTTTCATTCATAAAAATAATGGCACGATCTTACTATGAAGTTCAAAGAGAGAGAGCTTTCCTTGATACTGTGGGACACGGGGACCCTGAGGAATGTGGTATTGATTAAGAAAACCCTGCTTGCACAATGATTAACAGCTTTAACCGGTTAAGCTTTGTGATCTAAATCATTCCCCTTACACGCTACAGTATATTTTGTTAATTGCCTCGTATTTCGTGTGTGGGCCGGGACATTCATTGACCATTGACCCTCTTTCTTAAAAAAGCTTTAAATTGGGAAGTCAGTGGTCAGCAGGGAAATTTCTTTGTAGGTGTTTGCTGTTAGTGTTCATTGTGAATAAAAGGCATTTAGATTGCAATTTTACTAGGTCCTTAAACATGAATGTAAAAGTTGAAGTAATTTAAATTATTAAACTTGGCTCTCCACTATTCTTGTGTAGCATAAAGAGACTACAGCTTTCCTTGCCACCCTCTGTTGTAGAATGACAAATAAATTAACCAAGTATTCTGTGTATAGGCCCAAACCTATGTCCCCTCTGAGGTCTAAACCCCGAACCCAAACCAGATTTAGCAGGAACACGCCTCAAAGTCTGTGAGTCTGTGAGTGTGGACGTTGGGATTGGGCCATAGTAATTCAATAATGGATCAACATCCAACAAAGAAATGTGTTAGAGATGCAGCCTAATCCCATTAAAAGTAATAGAATGGTATTTTACTTTTGTGGCCCAGTGGCCTAATGGATAAGGCATCAGCCTCCGGAGCTGGGGATTGTGGGTTCAAGTCCCACCTGGGTCGTGTGAACTATACCTTATTTATGGTATCTGTACACTATCACCATCTTTCCAGTTAACACATTGCAGAAATCACTAGGTACTTTGTCACACTTAATCCCCCAAAGCAGTTCACAGTGTAACGGATGCTATTTGCAGAAGACAGTTTTGACATATGAAAAGCACAGGGGTAAACAATAAAACTGGTGACTCCGCTAAATTGAATGCTTCAGTTTTAGGGTGCTGCTATTTTTATCATACTGTAACATGGGACATCTGAATAGAATGAATCTATTTAGTTGTTGATATTGTCAGTAACACTTGTGCGTTTTCTTTGTTGATCGGTCAAATGATCTGCTGTGAAAAGCATTTATATTATGTTAATGATAAAATTACCCAAATATGCTTTAGGTTTGTGTCACAAACAAATCAAATAATGTGTGAGACCTTGCAATCTAAAATGATAAATTAGGTTCTCACACCTCACAATCCCTGTTAATCTAATATTGTGTATTGTTGTTTATCATTTATCAATTATCATGCATATTATAACTGATATAGCCTAATATAATATTAGTATAATTACAAACAGCAAAGACAGTATTCTGTATTGTCATGGCTAAACATAAGTGCAGTAATGTTTATATATATATTTCAAGTTATATACATTTAAAGTGAAATAAATATTAAGTTACAGAAAACAACTGATGTGTGCCACATGGTTCAACGTCATTATTTGTCTTCAAATAAATGTTACAAGATGTCAAAAACAGATTTCAGAAAAATCTTTAAGAAGAAGAGAAGGGTCGATATAATACATTTCCTTTACTTAAACAAAAGGAGCAATACCACAGTGTAAAAATGTTTGTCATAAGTAACATTCTTATCCTTAATATGTTACTTTAAGTACAAATTTTACTTTAAGTACTCATTACACAGGGAGCCTATTCAGAGCATGGCAGCATTTTAATGTTGTTGTAGGTTGGGATAAGACTAACTTTAACTACCACTACTACTGCTAAATATATAGTGTTTAGCTCATCAAATGTTTTTATGTAATTTTGAAGATGTCAAAAACAGATTTCAGCAGAATTATTATAAAGAGGAGAAGGGAACCTTTTTGGGATGCTTTGCTGCCCCTTTGTGGTACAACATGTGCACACACGCTGTATAACCAAAATACAAAATACTAAAACCACAGTATAAGGGACAGCATAATTGCCTAAAATTAAAATATTAACAAAAGCTAGCAGCTAACAGAGGAGCTAACCAAGCTCATCTCTCCTATAGCCTGTTTTTATATCATATTATATATTACTTATACTGATATATATATAAATTTATACTAACAGCCATATAAGTAATATAAGGCAAGATGCTCTCCAAAAGCAGAAAAGAGCAAAGCATGTAATAAAAGAAAGAAAGAAACAAATAAATAAAAGATGAACAAAAAAACATGCCAGGGGTCAACACAAATGAACAGAAAGTGG